TACTGTTTAATTACTAACTACTGTTTAACTACTAACTACTGTTTAACTACTAACTACTGTTTAATTACTAACTACTGTTTAACTACTAACTACTGTTTAACTACTAACTACTGTTTAATTACTAAATACTGTTTAACTACTAACTACTGGTTAACTACTAACTACTGGTTAACTACTAACTACTGTTTAACTACTAACTACTGTTTAACTACTAACTACTGTTAATTACAAACTATTCTTTAATATTTTTGTTAATGATATCGAATCATCTTTTAATGTAAACTGTAAACTTTTTGCCGACGACGCCGTGTTTTATGTCTCGAAAAATTCGTACGACGAGGCGTGCCATAATATATGAGAGCTGTCATTGAAGCTGTCAAGATGGCTTCTACACTCAGACAAATGAGTGGGTCATGTTATCAAAAATGTGACACACTTTCTGCACGTAGCACTGATACACCCTTTTGCCAGAGAGAAACTGGTTCAAAGTGACACACACAATGCAAAAGTGTCTCGCTTTTTGAACCAAGTCACTCTCATTTCAGTTAGTGTAGTAAACAAGCTAGTGGCATATAAATACAAGACNTCGCTGATTGCGATCAGTTGGCCAACTGACCCAGAATAACTCTTACGCGAACATAGCAACTCTGGGGCGGAGGCTGAAGCATACCCCGAATTTTGTTAGGGCTGGGCAGCCATGCTTGCTTTATATGACTGGGCTCGGCCAGCTCTTGTCATACTCTCAGGCGACTTTAAAGTCGGATTGGAGATTATGACATGAAACATTTCGATCGGGTGGCCAAGACCCAGAATAACTTTGCGCCAAGGGTTGTGACTATTCGGCTGAAGGTTAGGCGGTTCTCGAATTATTTAGAGATGCACTATGCAATTAAACTAAATAATGTACTAAACTAAAGAATAAACTCAACAATGTACCAAACTATATAATTAAGCTAAATAATGTACTAACCTATAAAATTTAACTAAGTAATGTATTAAACTAAGTAATGTACCCAATAACAAGGTCCTTTTGTCCAAATAATGGCACATTCTCAGTTCATTCACGAACAGAGAGAGGACGTAGCACTGATACGCTCTTTTATTGCGCCAAATTCGGGGGTAAATGGATTATTGGCATAGGGTTATTGGCATAGGGTTATTGGCATAGGGTTATTGGCATAGGGTTATTGGCATAGGGTTATTGGCATAGGGTTATTGGCATAGGGTTATTGGCATAGGGTTATTGGCATAGGGTTATGGCATAGGGTTATTGGCATAGGGTTATTGGCATAGGGTTATTGGCATAGGGTTATTGGCATAGGGTTATTGGTATAGCGTTATTGGCATAGGGTTATTGACATAGGGTTATTGGCATAGGGTTATTGGCATAGGGTTATTGGCATAGGGTTATTGGCATAGCGTTATTGGCATAGGGTTATTGGTTTTGAATATCAAGTATTTTTGAACATATATTTTTTATTTTCGAATATTAAGTATTTCAATCTAAAATAGTGGACAAAAAATAAATGTAAGAATTCTAATGTCGCGCTTTACTTGTTCAATCATAAACTAAGAATACTAAAAATCCATTTGAAATAATCTCAAAAATATACCTAATTTGACATTAAAATAATAAATTTGAAATATCAGTATATATTAAGTCTATGGCGTCTAAAAAATTTTTGCGCCAGAAAGGCTTCAATTGTTTTGTTAATATGGTACGTAATTAAATAGCTGACATCATTCATTTATAGGTGATTTATTGATTAAAAAAAATGATGTCACAAAGTTTTTATTACATACTGATATATTAAATAGAGAAAATTGATCAGAATATGCCAATAGATAATAATATTACTGAAGTATGATATTTGCGTCACAAAGTTTTTATAATATACTAATATATTAAAAATAGAAAATTGATCAAGTTATACCAATAGATAATAATATTTATGAAGTATAATATTTGCGTCGCAAAGTTTTTATAATATACTGATATATTAAATATAAAAAATTTATTAGATTATGCCAATACATATTAATAATACTTAAGTATAGTATTTGCTGCTGTATAACTCCGGTCTTCTCGGTCTCCATACCAAGCATATCTGAACTGCATTGCAGAGCTGTAAATAAACGTAAATAAATAACATTACGACTAGCAGATGTTGCTGCCTTGTTATAGCTGCTTGTGATGGTCACATGTCAAAACCTATAAGCATAATATTTTTATTTATACATCAATCTATATAAATACGTTTTTGCAGCTGGTTTTGCCCACCGCATGCCAGAAGCTAGGTTGGATTTTTGACGTATCAACTCGTCTTCAATCATTGATTTCGACTGCAGTAGAGGCTCGACTTTAGAACAGAGAAGACTGCGCAATAATTACACTAAGAGAAAATATAAGATTCTAAATTTAACTATTGTACATCTCAATATTGTTTTTGTTCTGAAAATTCTGAAGTGAAAGAAACGATAAAAAAAATTCTATGCATGACACAAAAATCATTCGATTTTTTGGTGTAAATGTTTGATTTATGAGCGTCCACCCAAGAATTAGTTTTTTATTTGTTTTTAAATTGAGAAATTTGCTAAATATTATATATAACCTATTTACTTTTTGCAGGTAGTTGAAGTGTTTATCACATCATGATTTTTTTCTGCAAGAAAATATGTACTAGCGTCCTTAGAATTAATTATCTAATGATTAATTATCTTAAAATTAATTATCTTAGATAATATTAATTATCTAGTTATTGGAAGGCGCATTTTATATCGTGAAAATATTTTAGGGTATAAATGACATTTTTAGAAATTATTTCAGGAAATAAAAAAAATTTTCATTTAGTTTTAATTTATTCACCTTGTAAAGTTTAAATCATAGCTTAGCAGGATATGTATATATATCGAATTTTAACGTTAATACCGGTATTGGTTTTTATGCTAAAAATTTTTCCAAAAAGGCCAACAAAATTTATTTTAATTTTTTTGGGCTTTCATTAGATATTTTTGGCGTAAACAATCAAGAGATTAAAACTTCAAAACAATTCAGCGTTTGTTATTCAGAAAACTTTTCCTATTGTGTGACCATGTATAGAATCCTGAATTGAACTCATGTATAGAATCCTAAAATACAACAGGCTGCATTTCTCAGCCTGTAATAATTTAATTATTATAATAAATAAATAAATACTGTTCAATATTTTAATGTTATATTTCTTATTATCTTTCAGATTAATATTAATGTTATAGCAGGAATTTTTCAGCGGGGAAAAACAGTAAGAACAGCTATGGATGTCAGTCAAACGGAAAGTAAGTCAATTTGTCAAATTTAACAATTAGAATAGGGTAATTAATAAATCGTGACAGAAGCACTCATACCTCACTTGTTCTGCCCAATTACTTGAATAGACCTCCCGATTATCCAAAGATATACTTGAATAATTAAAAAAAATTAAGAACAGTAGAGTAATAAATTTTTTGCGTTCATCTTTCAAATTCAATTGTTTCCGAAATAATTATATTACACAATGATAACTTGTATGTCGTATAATTTAGACGAGAAGCTACATTTTGCATCTAGTGTAGTTTTCAATTCCGGTTCAATTTAAATAAATATAGCCAAAATAATGCATATTTTAAATGCACTGAAATGAATGCATTCTGTATATTGGATACTAAATCTTAGCAATTATAAAGCTATATCACGACGAAATCCGTAGCTTTTATTTCTTAACAAAAAGATTTTATTTCTTCAAAAATATACTTTTAATATTTAAATAACTCAAGTATTATAAAAGATTCCGATTGCTATTTAATAATATTCTATAATATAATATATCTTTATATTATAATATATTATAATAAAATAATTAGTTATTAAATTCAATAATAATTAGGCTAATTTGTATAAGTTTATATTATAAGAGTAAGAAATATATTTTTCACATACAGCCATGAAGAAAGTGTTCGCCATGTTCGACCAGGGCAAGACAGGCTTCGTCGAGACCAGCGAGTTCGGCAACATCCTTCGTCAGCTGGGGTCTAACGTAGACGATGACGAGCTACAGGCGAAGATAGACGAAGTTGATAAAGAAAGTAAGTAAGATAAAGTAAGATAAGCAGAGTAAGCTTTAATATTTCTTTCATGCAAGAAAGATGAAGTCGATAAAGAAAGTAAGTAAGTAAGATAAACAGAGTAAGCTTTAATATTTCCTACAGGCGAGGATAGACGAAGTAGATAAAGAAAGTAAGTAAGATAAGAAGAGTAAGCTTTAATATTTCCTACAGGCGAAGATAGACGAAGTTGATAAAGAAAGTAAGTAAGATAAACAGAGTTAGTTTTGATAAGACCTACAGGCGAAGATAGGCGAAGTTGATAAAGAAAGTAAGTAAGATAAACGGAGTAAGCTTTAGTATTTCCTACAGGCGAAGATTATTTTGAATAATTATGCACAATTTTGAAGGAGGCCTTCAGACTTTACGACAAAGAGGGTGATTATAAAATTAATCATTTGTTCTTTTGAATAATTATACACAATTATTTTTAGCGCATACTCTCATTTATGGAAAAAAATGCACTATTGTGCTCGACATGTCTGTCTGTCCGTCCGTCTGTCCATCTGTTCGTCATGTTCGTCCGTCCGTCCGTCTGTCCGTCTGTCTGTCTGTCAGTCCGTGACTGCAAGTTTTCGTAGACGAGAAAATGCGCTCTCTGTCACTCACTGCTGTGAGAACAGAGTTATATTTTTTCATATTTGCATTGTTGATATGGAAATAACTTTTCTTTATAAACAGGGATAAACTACAGAATAGGGATTCGTATTAATGTGACGTTTAGAGTATAGCAAATTTTAAAATGCATGTTACATTGTTAATTATTTAATGAAATGAATAGATTAATTGAATATAGAAATTTGTAATCCCCATCCAGTAATAAATACCTGACATCAATTTGATCAGTTTCCGGCTGTTTTTGTCGATATTTGTCGTGCATCAGTTTTTTTTTGATATTTTTACGCCGGATTTTCTGCTTGACTTTATAACTACAATTTCGTTTCAACAACTTTGATTTCGAGCGGATTTTGCTGCATAAACAACATTTATTCGACTTTATTTCTACGTCAGATGAGACGTAATTTTCCCATCCGTTTTTACGTTAATAGATTATTTTATGTATTATAATTTTATGGAGTTATATTTCATGTATTATTATTTTATGTATTATTATTTTATATGTAATATGAATTTTTGTTACTGTAGGCGACGGCTTCATCACGACGCAGGTGCTGAAGGAGATCCTGAAGGAGCTGGACCCGAAGTTGACCAAGGATGACCTGGAGAACATCATAGAGGAGGTGGACGAAGACGGGTCCGGGACGGTCGATTTTGACGGTCAGTGTCGGCTGGGACGGTCAGTGTTGGCTGCGACGGTCAGTGTTGACTGGGACGGGCAGTGTTGGCTGGGACGGTCAGTGTTGGCTGGGACGGGCAGTGTTAGCTGGGACGGTCAGTGTTGGCTGGGACGGTCAGTGTTGGCTGGGACGGTCAGCGTTGGCTGGGACGGGCAGTGTTGGCTGGGACGATCAGTGTTGGCTGGGACGAACAGTGTTGGCTGGGACGGTCAGTGTTGGCTGGGACGGTCAGTGTTGGCTGGGACGGGCAGTGTTGGCTGGGACGGACAGTGTTGGCTGGGACGGTCAGTGTTGGCTGGGACGGTCAGTGGGACGTGGCTGGGACGGTCAGTGTTGGCTGGGACGGTCAGTGTTGGCTGGGACGGTCAGCGTTGGCTGGGACGGGCAGTGTTGGCTGGGACGGTCAGTGTTGGCTGGGACGGGCAGTGTTGGCTGGGACGGGCAGTGTTGGCTGGGACGGTCAGTACTTGGGACGTGGCTGGGACGGTCAGTGTGGGCAGTGTTGGCTGGGACGGTCAGTGTTGGCTGGGACGGGCAGTGTTGGCTGGGACGGGCAGTGTTGGCTGGGACGGGCAGTGTTGGCTGGGACGGGCAGTGTTGGCTGGGACGGTCAGTGTTGGCTGGGACGGGCAGTGTTGGCTGGGACGGTCAGTGTTGGCTGGGACGGGCAGTGTTGACTGGGATGGGCAGTGTTGGCTGGGACGGTCAGTGTTGGCTGGGACGGGCAGTGTTAACTATTTGTTCCCCCTACTAATTAACTAGTTATTCCCCTACTAATTAACTACTTATTCCCCTATTAATTAACTATTCATTCCTCTACTAATTTACTATTTATCCCTCTACTAATTAACTATTTATCCCTCTACTAAGAAACTATTTATTTCTTTACTTATTAACTATTTATTCCTTTACTAATTAACATTAACTATTTATTCCTCTACTAATTAACTATTTATCCCTCTATTAATTAACTATTTATCCCTCTAATAAGTAACTATTTATTCCTTTACTAATTAATTATTTATTCCTTTACTAATTAACAATTTATTCCCCTAATAATTAACTATTTATTCCCCTACTAATTAACTATTTATTCCTCTACTAACTAACTATTTATCCCTTTACTAATTAACAATTTATTCCCATACTAATTAACTATTTATCCTTCTACTAATTAACTATTTATCCCTCTACTAATTAACTATTTATTCCTCTATTATTTAAATATTTATCCCTTTACTAATTAACTATTTATTCCTTTACTAATCAACTATTTATTCCCCTACTTATTAACTATTCATCCCTCTACTAATTAACTATTTATTCCTCTATTAATTAACTATTTATCCCTCTACTAATTAACTATTTATTCCTTTACTAATTAACTATTTATTCCCCTACTAATTAACTATTTATTCCTCTGCAGAGTTCATGGAGATGATGACAGGATGATGGCCCACGGTCGCCTTAATGATAGTTAAGTTTTTAATAGTTTATGTTTGTGTGTTATTAAGTTTTTAATAGTTTGTGATAGTTTGTGTTTTTTAACGATATTTCACTAATTGCTATCATTATGATAATCTGCTTATAAATTGAAAAAATGTTTGAAACGTAGAAATAATATTTTGTTCAGCACAAAAAAATATTTATCTATTGTAATTTCAGCATCCGAAAAAAGTATTTATGCGTATTGCGCATGCGTATTTATCTCCATAAAAGTATTTATGGAGATTTTTTATTATACAATAAAGTTTCACGCTTCTTTTTCATTTTTATTCGAAATAAACACAATTAGTTCCTGAATGTAAGATCATTAGGTTCTAAAAAAATCTAAAATCTGTAAACTATTTTTAATAAAGAGAATTTTACTCAATATGTCTATTTTTTTCTTCTTCAATTTCATATCATTTGTGAATAAACTATATAGCGAATAAAATATTGAAAGGCTATAAAGAAGATTCAAAGGATAAATCAGGTACTTTCTCGTTAATTTTTTTATTGAAATCCGAATTCAACAAACTTAATTTAACCGTAATAATCACAGGTGTGATATAATGCTATTAAAATAATTTAAAAACAAAAATAACTAAAATAAAATAAAATAATTGACTGAGATAATGAAAGGCTAAATGAATTTATATCGATAAAAACAATCGTTATTGACTTGACGTGGTGAATAATTTCGATTGTTTTAATTATTTGTACGGTGGTTAGGAGAGGGATAACTTCTGTGGATTTTATTGAACTCATTCAATAAAAAAGAAATACAAGAAGAATCATTGACAATCATCAGAAACTTTTTTATTTATTAAATCACCATGAATTTGGGCTCTCCCTTCTCAAAAATAACACTTTATTAGATATTGTTTGTGCTAATAAATAGATGCTTATTATGAAAATAATAAATACTGTTATAAATCATTATTATTCAATAGACGTATAAGTTATAATTGTTATTGTAATCCAGCGTCTGAAAATGTTTATACCTAACGGTATTCAATTCATATTTGGAAGAAACAAATTCAATTTACACGCGGATTCATGATTTTATTTTTCTTCAACGAAGATCGTTTATTTATATAAACCTTCCAAAGTGTTTCCGGGATTCGCCAGTGTGAACAATATTTGCAAGAAACTGAACAAGCACATAAAGGATAATTTCAATATTTGCTTCAATAAATATAAATAAAATGAACCTTAGTTTTTGGTAAAAAATAATTCTTCTCAGGGAGAAATCTTCAGCAGATTATCCGGTCATCATCTCCATGAACTCTGAAAAAAAAAGAAAAAATTTAGTGACTTTGGTTTAGATGAAATAAAATCAAATAAAAATCATTTTTTAATTATTCATAATAAATCAATCTTATTAAGCCAGCTGAATCGGCATTGTGTATTTTTTAATGTGAAAATTTGGCATTAGGAGCCGAAAGTTTATTGTGTACATTGTCAATTATTTAATTAGTAAAATTGTTTGTGTTAATGTGTTCATCTTTTTCTTCTTCGTATTTTAGCTTCAACATTTATTTTGGCTTAAAAATCACCAAAAAATTACTAGTTTAGTCATAACAGAAAAATGCATTAATTTTGATGGCAAGACTCAAAATCTGAGTTAAGCTTAGAATAACAATGAGGTCTACCGTAAAGCTCAGAATAACAATGAGGTCTATCGTAAAGCTCAGAATAACAATGAGGTCTACCGTAAAGCTCAGAATAACAATAAGGTCTACCGTAAAGCTCAGAATAGCAATAAGGTCTACTGTAAAGCTCAGAATAACAGTAAGGTCTACCGTAAAGCTCAGAATAACAGTAAGGTCTACCGTAAAGCTCAGAATAGCAATAAGGTCTACCGTAAAGCTCAGAATAACAATAATGTTTACCGTAAAGCTCAGAATTAAAATAAGGTCTACCGCAAAAAATTCGAAGATTATAATTTTAGGTGTCGAATCTCAAAGAATAAATTGCCGCCACCCTCAAAAGTCAAACCTTAACTAATCTTTAACACAACAATTCAATTTTTCAGACTTCAATATTAAGAAAATATTAAAATTTATATTATTTGAAACTCGCATTTTAATTCAGCGTAAATCCAATCGCAAACTTAAAAAAAATGTCATGTAAATGCATGCCAATTTTTCGAATTAAAAATTCACTAAAAATTCATAAGCAAAGGAAATTCCACAAAAATTCCCCATATATTTATACCAAATACCATGAATTTAGCTTCAACATCCGGTGCTTCTCATTTGCGTATCCTTGTATATTTTTATATAAAAGCTTAGCATTAATGCTGCTTCAGCGTTTATCCTCTTCAACTTGTAAATAGAAGATATGGTCGGCATTTTTCCTTTGATTTCTTTATTTGAAAATTTAGATTTTAACTTCTGTTTTCTTGAAATTCGAACTACTGTTTAACTACTAACTACTCGTTAACTACTAACTACTGTTTAACTGCTAGTTACTGGTTAACTGCTAACTACTGTTTAACTACTAACTACTGTTTAACTGCTAACTACTGTTTAACTACTAACTACTGTTTAACTGCTAACTACTGTTTAACTACTAACTACTGTTTAACTACTAACTACTGTTTAACTACTAACTACTGTTTAACTACTACCTACTGTTTAATTACTAACTACTTGTTAACTACTAACTATTGTTAACTCCGAACTATTCTGTAATATTTTTGTTAATGATATCGCATCATCTTTTAATGTAAACTCTAAACTTTTTGCCGACGACGCCGTGTTTTATCGCTCGAGAAATTTGTTCAACGAAGCGTGTCATAATATATCAGATATCTTAGGAATGATTAAATCTACCTTAGTTCAACTAAGGTAGAATCTACCTTAATCTTAATCGATTAATCTACCTTAATCTACCTTAATAATTAATCTACCTTAATCTACCTTAATCGATCTTAATCTACCTTAATCTTAATCGATTTAAAAAATTATGGAGATAAGCTTAGGAATCTACCTTAGTTCAATGTCGAGCAAGTCATCCAACGAAGCGTGCCATAATATATGAGAGCTATCATTGAATCTGTCAAGATGGCTTCTACACTCAGACAAATGAGTGGGTCATGCTGTCCAAATTGTGACACTTTCTGCACGTAGCACTGATACACCCTTTTGCCAGAGAGAAACTGGTTCAAAGTGACACACACAATGCAAAAGTGTCTCGCTTTTTGAACCAAGTCACTCTCATTTCAGTTAGTGTAGTAAACAAGCTAGTGGCATATAAATACAAGACTGAGTTAATGCTTCTTACTACCAGGGCCTTTACTTTTAAAAAAGTTAAGAGATCGTAAGTTCATCAGCCAATCATTGACGGCCTTTCAAGCAAAATCCACCAATCATAGACAAGAAAATAGAGCGTAAGTACTTACGTTCACTTAATCATAGACAAGAAAAGAGAGCGTAAGTATTTACGTTCACGTAACTAGTTTTGAAAGTATGGCCCCAGATCCCTTTCTCTTTCACGTGAAATCACCTTCAATGGGACAATCTTACAATAAGTCGATGAATTATTCAGGTATCTTGGTTTAATCTTTGATAACAAGATCTCCTTCAATAAATACATTAACCACGTCTGTCAGGGGCTGAGTAAAGCCCACGGAATTTTGTGTGCTTTATGAAATATTTTAAAAATATTTTAAAAACGCTTTTTATTTTAAAAAATATTTTTATTTTTATTTAAAATATTTTATATTTTAAAAACGCATTATGAAATATTTTAAAAACGCTTTTCTTTGCATTGTACTAATCAAAACTATCAAGCACTTTAGTAATCTGAGGTGGTGTACCATTCAATACAAAAAAAAACGGGTCATCACATTACTTAATAAATCGTTGCGTTCAATGCTTAGGGTTAGGTATGATGATAATAATATTCCTTTGATATGCACTAGCGAATTTTATAGGCAGTCGAAAATTTTAAAACTTGACGATATGTTCAGATTTCAACTTTAAAAATTTACTTTATCATGATGAACGTCTTTTTAAATTTGCTACCGCCCCTCTTGTTCCCCAACATTGTCGCAACACCAGGGGCGTTCGATTTAACTTACCACTGGTTCGTTAGAAATAGAAAATAGTGGAAGTGGTTACAGTTCAGGGCCTTTACTTTCAAAAAAAGTTACGAGATCGTAAGTTCATCTGCCAATCATTGACGGCCTTTCAAGCAAAATCCACCAATCATAGACAAGAAAAGAGAGCGTAAGTACTTAGGTTCACGTAACCAGTTTTGAAAGTAAGGCCCCAGAGTACCAAGATTGGCGCAGAGAGGCGCGGGTTCGAACCCAGCTCTGTGCGCCAGTTTCTGGTCAGAATCGGCAAGGAGGCCGGGCGGTTAAGCGCAGCAGAATTGTAGCAGTGAGTTGCGAGTTCGAGACCGCAAAATGCTGTGAATGTACTGCGATGTTAAGAATCGGCGACAGGCCTACGGCCTACTAAACGCTGAAACCGCTATTATTATTATTATTATATTATTTCCCTGACCTCTCCCTCCTCCAATATTTCCCCGTACTCTCCCTCTTCCCCATTTCCCCATAACAGAGTGTTGATTTCACCCACAGTAATGCCATCACACTCGTCTCGTTTTTTTTAGGAACGTTTTTGCTTACATTATTTCACTTCAAATTACTGTTTTATTTTAAGATTTCGTGCATGATTTGAACACTTCGTGTTTTAACAATTCCAGTTTCATTTAATGCCTTCGTGTTTTATTTCAATACTTAGGGCTTCATTACAACTCTTAGTTTACATTTTCAACACTTCCATTTACTTATTAAATCACTCTTAGCTCACTAAAATTAGTGCCGTGACTCAAACTTGTGAATTTCAAATTTATCTTACTGAGCACTTCACTGCAATACTTAATGTTTATAATTACTAATATTTCTACACTTCGTCTGAACTTAGCAAACACAATAAGGCAACCATGGCGGAGAAGATTTCGGAAAGTTATCTTCAGACGAGAAGAAAGATTCTTCAGAAGAAGAAAGCCATTCAAAAGAACATCAAATAAATGAACGAATTCATGAACATTTTCGAAACCAGGAATGGTAAACTAACACTTCAGATGGAAAAAGGACTGCGATCGGCTCCGACCATCTCCATCATAAGCTGCGGCTCCGACCAACTCCATCATCAGCTGCGGCTCCGACCAACTCCGTCGTCAACTGCGGCTCTGACCAACTCCATCATCAGCTGCGGCTCTGACCATCTCCATCATCAGCCGCGGCTCTGACCATCTCCATCATCAGCTGCCACTCCGATCAACTCCATCATCAGCTGCGGCTCTGACCAT